TAAAAAAAACGACAAAACGAAATAAGTCCTTTTAAAATAACAAGATCAGTCGCGAAAGTAATATCGCATGGAACAGAACAACAATTATTGAACTGTTTTTCATCAACCCGAGTTGAATAAGACAGAGTAGGACATGACTCCTTTCAAGCATGGATTATTGTGTCTGACTGCAGGTAATTGTTACTTTTTTATTCACTTATTAAGATTGAGAAACATTTTCATATGATATCTGCATTGTAGTTAAAGGAATATAAAATTGTATGATACATTGTACTGATATTTCCGACTCTGTTCTTCTTTTAGAAAAGTTAATTTATACAGTATATATTCCATATTTTCTAACGGAAAATGAAACGTAAATAGAATTCAATGAATTCTTTCTTGGGATATTGCACTTATTTAGTATACCTAACGTACAAACTCAATCAAACCCAGTCTGCAATTTTCAGGCAATTTTGTTTTTATTAATGCTTCCGAAGGATCACTTTGTTTCCAGATTTTTATACTCCACTACAGCAGGTGTCAAGTGCCGTGTGACAGCTATAAAAAGCTGCCCCTACTTTACTTCAGTGTTGTTGTATTTTTCTGGTCCTTCGGAATCATTGATGCCAGCATTATTAAGTGTTGAGAATTGAGTACCGCTCTTGAGTAACGTTTAAGACGGTGCTACGGGGCATGAGGGGTATTTCACTTATTTATGTTTCCTCGTGTTCAGACTCAATCAGACCGAGCCTACAATTTTCATGTAGTTTTGTTGTGTTGTGATAAATGTTTCCAAGGGATCACTTTAATTCCGGATTTCCATACTGCACAACAGCAGGTGGCATGTGCCGTGTGGCATGACCCGTCTTGTTATATTCTTCTTGCCCTTCGAGATCCTAGATGCCAGAACTATTAGGTGTTGAAATTGAGTATAGAGATATATAATGAACTGTGCCAAGGTAACACATAAATTAGGTACATACTGGAAAGAAAAACCTTCCAAATTTCATATTCGCCCTCAGAAATGTGATCGATATCTGTGAAATTGTTTCTCTCTTATAATAATTGTACAATCCGTCATTAACTCAAGTAACTCTTTAATTGTTAGTTGATAAAATTCTAATAATGATCTGTCTGAAATGTATGCAAATAGTCCAGTGTTTAATTTTAGTTGAAAGAAAGAAAGAAAGAAAGAAAGAAAGAAAGAAAGAAAGAAAGAAAAATTTCGCAGTTAAAGTGTTTAAGTCGTTTTTAAATCTTTTTTAAACTTAGTATATTGGATATATATTTCTGTTAATTATTCTGATTTGAGATTATCGGAAATGTCAAACATAAAGTTTATAAAATGTACCCTGATATCTTTTATTTTTGCTTTTTTACTTTAACTTACAGTGATGTTTGTGTTGACGAGATCTTCAATTGGATTGATGAGCATTAGAACAGATGGTAAATATATCTTTTATAGCATCGACAGATGGTAAATATATCTTTTAAAGCATCGACAGATGGTCATAATATCTTTTATAGCATCGACAGATGGTAATTATATCTTAATAAATTAAAGTAAATTGAAGACATAGCGAGAACTTATGATATAAATATATAGTGAGGACGTTCAAAATAAGGACATAACGATTACTTATAAGGACGTAACTAAGACTTATATGATAACAACATAATAAAATCTTTTAGGATAAAGACACAACGAGGACTTATAAGATACAGACACAATGAGGACGTTCAAAATAAAGATATAACGAAGGACATAACGAGGACTTATAAGATTAAAAACGATGACTTACCGTCCAGTTCCGTCCATGAACAGGCTCAATCTAACCGAGCCTGCAACATTTTCAATTTTGCCGCGTTGGGCTTTCTTGGGGATTCTTATTTCACTCTATTTTATCACATTAAGAAATAACGAGTACGTATAAAAAAAAACAAAAAAAAAACACAAAACATTAAACCGCATCTAACTTGGACAAATTAATTTTAGAAATTATGACGGAGAATAAGTAAATATATAAAATTAAATGAAGACGTATAAAGTAAGGATTTAACGAGTGTTAAATCAAGTGTTGAAAAATAAATGCTGCTCCAGACGGTAATTTTTGAGATGAAGGATTGTTTATTATATGTCATAAGCAACATCAATACCTATATTTTGTTCAATGCCTTTGCCAGAATGTTTATCCCCTTGTGTGCATGTAAAACTATTATATATTGCAGAGGGTTTAGTGAATGTTGCGCTGAACAAAGACATTGTTGTGGCTAATGTGTCAGATGAAGATGTTAATGTAGTCGTAGATGGTAAAAGAAGTTCTTGCATTATCAAAGACACAGGTCATGATGTTTGGTGGCGAGTGGACCTCGGTGATCTCCACACTATTTTCGACATACGAGTTAAACCAACTGAGAAATATTATAGCCAGATATGTTTGTGTTTATTTTGCATTATTACTTTCATGATACGAGCATTTTATTGATGTATGTTTCTCATATAAAACTTTTTAAGTGGTTAATGTCTTTAAAGGTCTGTTATCGTTTCTGAAAATATTGAAACAATATATTTTTTCTCAGTGTATTCAGGCTTTTTTTTTAAAGTGTACATTTAGGAAAAAACACATTTTGCCTACCAATGCGCGTGTAATATCACACATCAATTGGTTTACTGTGGCAAATAAATTGTTTTAAAATGCGACTTACTTCAGATACAGAAAAAGATTCTTGTTACGAAGCACTTAGGAACTACGAGGGTACAATGAGCACAACGGCCAGTGGAAGGACATGCCAACGTTGGGATCAACAAACACCCCACAAGCATGTATTTACACCGGAAAAATTCTGGTTTCGAGAAAACTTTTTGAAGAATAATTACTGTCGTGTTCCAAATGACTGGGACATGACCATGCCCATGCCGTGGTGTATTACTACCGATTCTAAAGTATTTAGCGAGCATTGTAATGTCTGGATTAATGAGTGTGTCAACGGTAAGCTCTCTGAACGAAGTGCATTATATATGTAGTACGTGTGGTGGCTGATTTGTGCCGTTTGTGTTTTCGCCTCGTCACTCCGCAAAGCGAAAAGTCGAGGGGGCGCGGAGCGTAAACAGGCTAATTAGCGGGGCGCGGGGCGAAGAAAAATAAATACAACTTCGCCCCACACCCCCGCTTATAAGCGTGTGTTTGCTCCGCTTCCCCGCAATTTTAATTTGTTAATTCTCTACTCTCCACTTTGCGGGGTCACGGGTCGAAAATACGAATGGCACAGTTCAATTACCATAAGTACGCTTGTTGTTCAATGTGGATAAATTTCACAATATGAATAACGAATCGACTGATGTATATTGATGTGTGTTAATAGCCAATACATCCTAAACCCACTTTAGCCATCTAGCCAATGTTTTCACATACCTACGTTAATGTTAGAAAAATTACCACTATGTCGTCACAACTTCAAACAAAAATCAATATGGCGGCTTACATTCGTTCTCAATTTCGTCCATATTTCTTAACTACATTAATATTGCTTACTGCGTATTTGTGATGTTTCAAAATATCTAAGTGAATACTTTATAATTACATTTTAAACCGCTGTAGAAATAATCAAAGACATGCTTAATTGGTAAAAGAGATTTTTATACTTCAAAAAAGCAGGTGTCAAATGCCGTGTGAGCAGCTGTAAAAAGTTGCTTCGTACTTCACTTCAGTGTTTTTATATTTTTCTGGTCCTCCGGGATCATTGCTACCAGCACTATTAAGTGTTGAGAATTGAGTACCGCTCAAGCCGGTGCTAGGGGCATGAGAGATGTTGCACTTATTTATTATCCCTAATGTACAGACTCAATCAAACTGAGTCTACAATTCTTATGTAATTTTGTTGTGATTAATGCCTCCCGGGGATCACTTTGTTTCCAGATTTTTATACTTCACAACAGCAGGCGTCAAGTGCTGTGTGGCAGCTGTAAAAAGTTGTCCCGTACTTCATTTCAGTGTTGTTATATTTTTCAAGTCCTTCGAGATCATTGATGTCAGCACTATTAAGTGTTGAGAATTGAGTACCGCTGAAGCCGGTGCAAGGGGCGTTAGGGATGTTGCACTTATTCTTTATTCCTCATGTACAGACTCAATCAAACCGAGTCTGCAATTCTTATGTAATTTTGTTGTTATTAATGCTTCCCAGGGATCACTCTGTTTCCAGATCTTTATATCGGTTGCTCTAACCAATGTTTGCAAAGCATCTACTCTGTTATACCAATGCTTGTGCATTGTAGCTAATTAAACCAAATTCCACCTTAAAAGCCATTGGTTTGCGCCATTATGGTGGAACATAGACATTGATTTGATTTTTAGCCACATAAACTAATTTCCGCTTAAATTTCTATAAGTTTGTGCCCTTCTTGTGGCAAATAAGCAGTGATTTGCTTTTTAGCCAAATAAACCAATTTCAACTAAAATAGCTATGAATGTGTGTCCTTTTTGCGGCAATAAGCATTGATTGTTTTAAAGCAAAATAAACCAATTTTAACCTAAATAATTATTAGTTTGTGCTATTGCGGCGACAGACATGCAAAGGTTTGGTTATCTCTTTTTTCTGTATCTGAAATACTTATGCCCTTAATGATAGTATGTCCTAATCATCAAAATCGAGGACAACTTTGAACGTTTTTACTATATACTAAAATTTATACAAACCAGATACACTGAGGTAATAAAGAACGATTGAGATGCATTAAGATAACACTAAATGAAACATTTAGATACATTGAAGTAACAAAGTACGATACATTAAGATGCATTGAGATAACAATAAATGATAGAATGAGATACATCGAGGTTACAAAGATTGAAATATATTTAGGTAACAAAGAACGATACATTGAGATACATCGAGGTTACAATAAATGATACATTGATAAACAATGAAAGATTCATAGAGGTAAAAAATGATACATAAATGTAATGATGCATGATACAATGAGGTAAATACATTAAATATATATTTTTCCTGCAGTGTTAGGTAAAGAAACTCACATTAAGATAGGTGGTAGCTTGGACAAAATGGTAGAGATCGACTTTAAACAAATAGAAGAATTCGACGATCAGAATTTATTTTGGACATTCCTTCTACCAAGTAAAAATAACACACGGTATGTGGAGTTTTTGCAAAACGGAAATGCTGGCTTTCTCAATTTATGTGAAGTGGAAATCTATGGCACAAAAGGTAAAAACATTTACAATCCATTGTATTTGTATATTAATTAACAGCATAACCCTCCAATTTGACAAGATATAACATATTTTCTGAACGAAAAACTGCAATTGTTTCTATATAAAAAGAACAACATGGAATTTTGTCGTTTCTTGGTTTCACAAACGAAAACAATTGTGATAAACCTAAAGTGGTTCATGACCCCATCAACTCAATTTGTGAAATTACATTGTTTATTTTCTATATACTGAATGTTATTTAAGATTAAAAAAGAATTACTTAAACAATTAAAGTTTGATCAAAACGAAATTATAAATTAAATCATTTTGTTGATACATTTAATCCATGGATTTGCAACACGTACAGACGAATTATATTAAAAATCACTGGAAATCCAAAACAAAAATCGTAAGTAAGCTTTCTTGTGTTAAAGTATAACAGAAATAATCCATGGTAATGTTTAACATTGTAATGAATTAGTCTTGAACTGGAACATTGTAAGTTATATTTCTTACTTAATTAACCTGTAAGGGAACTCAATTTCCAACACCAAAATCTTCAGAGTCGGTAGGAAATTATAATTAATATGCAAAAATATATGAAAATTAAAGACATTTGTTCAATGCTCATATCATGCACAGTTTTACTCTGATTTTATTGAACATCATAATCTGAGGGTACATGATAAGCTCGCATAATTTGTGTTTGTGTGTGCGTGTGTTTTTCTCATATGTTTATGTAAAAGGGTACACTTGCAGAGTCTGAAACGTTATTGGTGGTCTCATTTTTGGACATATTATTAATTCAGTTTTTTAGAAAATTTATTAAAGAATGGGAAGAACTGTCCTTTTACATTTTATAGTAAGTACAACAGCAAAAAAACTTTCTATATATAATAATGTTTACATTACACTATTTGCTATCTTAAATCTTTCAGAGGCAATTTCTAATATTGCATCTTTCGAGGTATCGGGTTATAAAAGGCTTGTTGACGTAGAATTTTGGCCAGGGAGGTACTGTTACCATACCAGTTATGGCGAGAAACCTTTTTGGCAAGTTGATCTTGGGGATATCTTTATTATATATTTGATACGGATTTACCAATGGGGCACCTTAATCAGTGAGTAAATTTATTTTTATATTTATTTTTTTTTTATTTTTTTTTTTTTTTGAATTGATAAAGTTGTCACGGGTTCGCCATGTAGAATTTGAATATATGTTTGTCATTTGGATTGCAGAATTTCAAAAGAATGGAAACACTTTACTTTCATAAATGGGCAAACTGAGCGCCAGTCTAGTTAATTGACTGTTAATTGAATATAATTGAAAACTCTAAGCTGGTTAAAATTAATTAGTACGTATCTACATACTTAAATTGGTGCTCACAATTAAATTGATACTTACTGATGTCGTCTGAAATTATATTGTTCAAAGTATTCATTTATCTGAAATTGGGTCCCAGTTATTGCACATTGGCATTCAAGCAAGAATTTTCCAGGTGTTGTTAATTTTTAAATGTCCCAAGTAAGGTAACTTCAAACAACTTGCAAAACTTCAAAATATATAAATCCCTGTTCTTTTTTACTGCTGTGTTGCATAGAAAAAATGTCTCCCTGATTTGATGAAGTAATATAGATGCCCTTCAGGTAAAATAACTTGTACTGGACGAAACCGATGAAGGGCCGGAAGACTGCTATGCCTAAAGAAAGTCCAAAACGACAAAATTGTACATGCGGCAGGCTAGGTTTGATTGAGCATGTCCATGAAGGTAGTGATAGGGGCAAATTACCTTCCACGCACCCCCAGCACCTATCACCTTAACCATGAAAACATTTGAAATTGTTAGCTAGTACGAAATAAATTGGCCTTTTATATCCTATATCTATAAAGCAGATAATAAAATGTTTTAGAATTAATTAAACATTATCATTTATTCAAACACGACCCTCATTTTCCCCTATTGAACATAGAAGAAGCGGACGTGTGTGTTATAATGCAATAAAATCACAGTTGACGTTCTAAATTTAGACATATGACGTAATATTTATATATGTGAGGAAACCACTTAAACTGCAACGCGCCGAAAAGTACGGAAACAACCAGGCGCAATTTAGCTTAATATAAGGTACGGCAACATTCATTTGTTGATGTGTTAGAATCGAAATAATTTTTCTAAATCGGTGATTTTATCGCTTGAATACATAACTGTTTGTTGTTCGGATGCGCATCATTATATCATAATATATATATATTACATAATTCCTTGCATCCAAACTCCAAACATTGATTTTATTGAGCAAAAAAATCACTGTTTTTGGATATATTATTTCTAAATTATATCAACATTCATTCTCAGTTACTTACATCTTTATCCACCTCATTTGTATCAAACGAAGTTTTACGAGAATATCCAAGTCATACATTTGTATTGTTTTCGTATTTCGTATCAATATTTGAAAGACATTCAAAATGTGCCCATTGTAGACATATTCATTATAAGTGTTAATTATTTAAGTTTTTATATTACATTGCACACGTAGATTCTGACAAAAGGTCTGACTATGAGCTGGTATTTTGGTATCACCCGTATGAGAAGTTTTTAAAACATCTCAATAGATCTAGTATAGGGGATTGGCAACACAAATTACTCGTTGACAGTGCCCACGTTGACATTGTCGCCAGGTTCATCGAGTTGTATACGTCAGATGATTACGATGCTCTCTTATGTGAAGTTCAACTGTTTGGACTAAAAGGTAGGCGGAGTTATTTTTATCTGATGCTAACTTATGTGAACTTCAACTGTTTGGACTAAAAGGTACGCCGAGTTATTTTTATCTGATTGTTAGTTTTAAATATTTTAAGACTAGTGCACTTTGTAAATGTTTGCATGAGCTTACATTTCTTTAAAAAAAAACCTGATACGTACGGAAAGCAATCGCAACTTCTCGACCTTATCCGTCAATCTTCGGAAGATCGTCGCAGTTTTCCGATTGCATGGAAAGTATTTTACTTAAATTATTCTATAATGATTGCAGTAAGAACATAGTTGAACAAATAAAAACTGAAGTAGTTAAACAACATTGTAAGATAACCTTAAATATGTGCAGTCTGACCGGGACACGAACCAGGGCCCAAGTTCGAGATCGTAGACAAGGCTATAAAATTATTATAAGCAGTTTAATCAATATGATAATTATGTATTTTGGAAAAGAATATATTAGCTTCATATATCTAAGTTTAAAAAATATGATAAAAGTAATATTCGCAATTAACTCGTGATACCATTCCACGGCTCTACCAACTAAGATATCAGACCGCTTACACATAGTTTTCCTTTAAAAGGAACTGTTTCGAACCGTGACGTGCTTCTTTGCTATTTGAATTTATTTTGAAAGGATATGTGGCTCAGTATAAATGGATGTAACCTCAAATAATCTTAACCAAAAGGGGGTGGTTATATGGCAAATACACGTAAATACACAGCCATATAATCAGCATTTGTAACGAGCTGTGATTCTGCACAATTGCGTGTTTGTGTTTTTCCGTTTATTTATATTCGACAACGGTTGCCCATATGGGCGAATCCTCCAGGAGAGTTTTAGTCATTTTATTTTTTGGAGGATAGTGCAATTACAGATACAGAAAGATGCCCAAAATCCAGAAGCTTCTCCTCGTTCTTTAGCGAACCAAGTGTTAAAGCACCCATACACGGGACCTCGATTTAAAGTCTCATCCGAAAGTCTGATTAATAATTTTAGTTTAATTGAACCCACAATGTCGAGATTACAAGTCTTGCGCTCTTACCGATTGAGCTATGCGGGCTGGTTGCACAATTGCTTTATTTTGGAAATTATATATATGCAGACACGGTTTGTACAATTGATTACATGTATATGATTTATTATCCAATGGAAATTGACGTAACAAACATGCAGTGTAACTCAATTTATTTTACGCATGTGATCTTATTTATATGGAATGATGTTTACAAAATTAGGATGTAGATATGTAAATATAATTAATTTGAAAATTCCTGATAAGTTTCATTAATGCACTTGGGTAGGACGTAAAAAGTTTTAAGAACTTTCATCTAAAGTTGAACGAATAAAAATGATTTAACCATTTAAGCGAGTCTGTTTAAAAGTATAATTTTTTTAAGTACGCTGTCCTGTTTTAGTTTATCAATATCATAGCTGTTGTAAATCCTGTGTAAATGCTCATAATATGTGTCCCATGGTTGAACTGTTATGCATCATAAATAAGGGTGAGATGATCAGACTTTCATCTTTTACATAATAATTGATATTACACGATGTTAATGATTATTTGGATTGTCTTATGCTTGTTGGTCGCTAAGATATTGGCAAGTGGTCGGTTGTTTATACGGTCTTTAAAGAATCTTATTCGGCAAAGGCAAACACACTCGCGCGCACACACATATATTTATATTTATCTTTTCATATCTAATGCATTAGGTATCGAATTTTTACTGTTTTATTAATCATTTTCTAGGTTTTGAGAAAAGTCAAAATGTGTTATACATGTATTACAATCGCTTAAGGCGACTTATTGAATATAAATGACCTTAAACAAATGCTGATCTTTGTACGCTTGTACACGTGATTACATTATTGAAACATTATTACCACTAATTTATACAAATTATACATTAACACAGCTGAATGTCCATATAATCCATGTAAGAATGGGGGTCAATGTTCTATTGTAAACAGCGACGATATTTCGGAACACCCAGACTTTTCGTGTCAGTGTACAGAAAGTTCTTCTGGAGATCTTTGCGAGGACTGTAAGTTGAAGATTTTATTGAGTTATCGTTGTTAAAAGAACAAATATAAAATGGACAATTTCGAGATGGACTTTTTCTTTTAATGCCCCCATTATAAGGAGGGGTCATTTAGATTTACCCTTGGCCTTCCGTCCATCCGTCCGTCTGTTCTCTTTTGTGTGACACGTAGCTGATCTAGAGTCATGAAACTTACAGTAATGTTGGTCAGCATGTGTAGTTGTGCATCTGTGTGTTTATGTGTGGATATATATATATCTTAAGTATTTGTAGACTTATTGACCTTAAGTAAATTTGACATTTCAACTTGTATGGCACGTAGCTCAAAAAGCATTTGACCTAGGGTCATGAAAGGCCATTGACTTAGTAAAAAGTGCAATTTTCAATGGTTTTTCGTGCGTAGCTCAAAACGTTTGACCTATAGTTATAAATCTTAACAGGAATTCATGTGTAGTTGTGCACCCGGGTGTTTGCGTGTGGATTTATTCAGTATCTGTAGAATTATTGCTCTTAACTTATAGGAACGTAGCTCGGGATGTGAAGTTGTGCACCTGACGTTTTGCTTGTGGAATTATTTTGTTTGGTCAGAGTTATTGCCCTTGACTTAGTAAAAATTGCAATTTTTATTATTTTCGTTCGTAGGTCAAAATGATTGTTGACATAGAGTAATGAAACCTTACAGGAATATTCGTCAGCATGTGTAGCTGTGCACCTGGGGCTTTGCTTGTGGATTTATTCAGTATTTGTAGAGTAATTGCTTTTCACATCGTAAAAGCCATTCCAAAATGTTGTGTTATGTGTACATTGAGTAAAAATCAACGAACTTTACAGTAATTATGATCAACATCACTGTGAAACTGTTGCATGTGGATTTTGTGTTTCATTGCTTGTTAGATATATTGCCCATGACTTAGAATAAATTATAGACTTGTTAATGCAAATCTCAAAAAAAGTATTTGACCTGTAGTCTTAAAATTATACAATAATGTTGGTCAGCATGTGTAGTTATTCCCCTTGGGGTTGCTTGTTGGTTTAGTCAGTATTTGTAGAGTTTTGGCATTGACTTAGTAATTCAGTTTTTAATGACCTAGAATCAGTAGGCTGACAAATCAGTGGAGTGTGGGGGCACCCGTGTCCTATGGACACATTTGTTTTTCATTCAGGGTTGATAATACTTAAATATTGTTTTATATCGCATTGCACTTTAACAAATACAGTTGCCATAATGACATGGTGATTTTGTACGTAATGGGCTCTGTTCGGTTGTTTGGTAGGTTAAAAGTTAACACTTAAACTAATGCCCTTTTTGTCAATCATTTCTAAATATCAATCTGTAATTTAACAAAGAACAATAGGCAATTTCAAAGGCATTTATTATATATTTAATATGTATGAAATGTCTGATAGTTTGATATCGAGTTGTAATTATTACTTGTAGTACAATGAAATAACGAGTATTTTCTCTTTTTCTTTTTAAAAAAGGCTCACAAAATGTCGCCCTCAAGAAAGATACACTAGCGTCAAGTATAATGTATCCAACTTGGCCGTCCAGCAATGCCGTAGATGATGACATCGGTCAATATGTAGGTAACGGAGCAACTTGTGTGGCAACAAAGCAGGATTTAAACCCATACATTATCATTGATCTTGCAGCAGAGTATATTCTATCATCCGTCAAATTTTACAAACAATTAGATTTCTATGACAATGGTAATGTATAGTTTATACACTATATTGCATATATATTATATAGTAAATAGTTTATATTCATAAAATAATAATCTTATTTTTTAATACATATGTACATAGTTACCGGTTATACTGATGGAGTATGACATACTGGTCTTATTTTCAAACTAAAACAATATGGAGTTAGTAGTTAATTATCAAATTGGTTTTTCAAATTATTTAGAGAATAGAAACACAAAATGTTTTTGCAGGCACTACATACATGTATTTTGATGAGACATTTTTAACAGCTCGTGTGCCTCAAGGCTCGGTTTTAGGGCCTCTCTTATTTCTGCTTGATGTGAATGATATAGTGGATACTCTTAAAATTGTCACACAGTTATTTGCAGACGATAGTTCATTAGCAATAAGTTCGCAAGATAAAACTTATATTCATTCATTCATTCATTCATTCATTCATTCATTCATTCATTTATTCATTCATTCATTTATTCATTCATTCATTTATTTATTTATTCATTCATTCATTCATTCATTCATTCATTCATTCATTTATTTATTTATTTATTTATTTATTTATTTATTCATTCATTCATTCATTTATTAATTAGTTCATTCTTTTTTTCTTTTCATTTCTTTATTACCTTTTCTCAAATCAAGTTTTATCAGTTAATGTTTATAATCAAATTCTATTTTTCTTTAATGATATATTGATTGCTGATATATACATTTTATTGAATTCCAATTACAACAGAATTTATGCACATCTTTTTTATTACCAGTGAGACAATGTGGGATGTCCAACTCTATAATGTTGTTAAAGCTTGTGGCTCGACCTTTCGCTGTTTATGAATATCTATAACATCCATGTTTTCGTTAATGTTGTATCGTTTGTTTGCTTGTGAAACTGTATCTGTATTTGTATAAAATGAAAAAGCATTAATTCTGTAGTTGTTGGCGTACATAATTTTCTTGGTAGCGGCCGTATGGTAAACAAAAAAAAGTCTTTCAAAAAAAAGATACACGGCCGAAGAAAAACTGGTTAAATGCATATGTTAGTTCTTAGTTTTCCGTGCAAAGTCATATAGACATGTTAGCATAGCTAGCATAACAATAACGTAATAATTTCTTGTAGGGTTATTAATCTTAAAAATTGGATCACTTTAAGATTTCTGTGGTTTTAAACAAACATGTTCCCGGTAAGGGAACTCAACATCTACGCAATAGGTAAAACAATAGTTTTTTAATAATACTTGATTAATATGCAAATATATATATAAAAAATAAACATTTTTCATTTGAACATATCAATACTCATATAATATATTAGACACTTATTGAACATCATAAACTAAGAATACCTGATAAGGTCTGATATTATTCTAATTTGTGAAACTCAGATCTTGTGCAAAATAAACTCACTAGGTTCTTACGTAAAAGTGACTGTTCACTAGAAAATGTAATGAGATCTGAATGCAAGAAATATTGTTTAAAATAACTTAAATATATTAAGCAATTTCTACTAGAGATTTAAAGAAATGTCATGTAAAATTATTTTAGATTTATCATTTACATTTTATTTCATAATGGCAAGAACTATCCTTTACATTTGAGCTTGGAACTATCCTTTACATATTATTTAATAATGGCAAGAACTATCCTTTACACATTATCTAATAATGACAATAACTGCCCTATACATTTAAGTTAAGAACTACCATTTACATTTTATCTTAGAAAGATCAGTTAAACCAATGACCAATTAAAGGTCTTCATATATTCAGTTCTTTCCTGTAGATTTTAAAATAAGTCAAACTGAAAACGGACCGGCATTTGGCCGGATGTAACCCACCATAGTCTTAACATAATCGTGATTTTTCGGCACTTTCCGTCATATTTCCGATAAAAAGTTATCGACGAGGTTCCGTATTGGTTTTATATTGCTATGTACCTCAATGAAATCATTTTATTTATTTATTATTTACTTATTTATTTATATATATATTTATTTATTTATTTAATTTATTTTTTTATTTATTTATGTATTTATTTATTTATTTTCATTCAAGATGAAAATGAGTTTGATATTCAGCTTCTACTGATGGGGAAAACATGGACCAGTTATGGGACGTTTGACGAGGCTGCAAAGCTGCTGAAACCTTATGTTAGAACAAGATTAGTTCGACTACAGGTAGCAGAAAACGTACCATTTGCCCTTCGTATATGTGAGATTAAGGTGTTTGCAGTATGTCAGGAAGGTAAATGGTATATGTTTTAGTTTTATTAAAGCAGGGAACATTTATATGCTTTCCATTAAAGGGGCACCACTTTGGATTTTTGTTTTATTTTTCGTTTGACATGACGGGGCTGGAAACATTTTTTTCACAGAGTGATGTTATTTTTAATGTAGGACTAGACCAATATAATCATCTGATATATATTACAATAAAACACTGAAAAGCATGAAATAAAAACGTATCTTACACTATTTGTTGTCTTTAATGATGCAGATTTATAGATGCTTTATAACAATATTTTTAACACCAGAACAAGTCATACACGACCAATCGAAGCCATACATGCAGATGAGGTTTTCCTTGGTGAACAAGTACAATGAAGTCGTGAAAGAAGAGGCGGCATTTATATATTCAATAAAGCAAGAATTGGCCATTGCAACAAACTATTCAGAAGCAAACTTTCAAAACATGAAGGTGCAAAAAGGTACAATTATATATTTACCAAAATATACATGGTCATTTCATACAGTTTAATTATACAAAGAATATTTATGAAATTAGATGCATATTCGCACAATTCAAACATATATACACCAAGATGACACGTGTCACACGGAAACTGCGCACAGTTGGACGCTTCAAGTGAAGGTGGTAGGGAGATAGCGATCCGAGATAAGAACATTAAAATTAATTATTTTATTTTGAATTGTATGTTTAACAGATCCATTACAAGTAGAGTTCGAGCTTCATTCGACAGATTTAAAGAAACTAAGTGAAAAGGTGGAGACTTTAGACATCTTATGTAGTCATGGCATGGACATGATGACTAAAGATGGCAATAACCTGACAATAAAAGCAGGTAGCTTGCAGTATCATGTGATGTACACAGGACATGCAGGTGATTAGTTGCTTGCTTTACATCATTTTGTTCATCGTAAAAAAAATATTTGTATTTTAGGGATATGTTTAGTTCTGCATTAGCCGGTGCTTCGGGAATATTGAAGGTAGTTTAAATCTGACATTATCGTCCATGAACATTCTCTTTCAAGCCTATAAAACATTTTTTAAAAGAATGTATTTAACCTTTTACCTCATATATACGTATTTTGACGGCTTTTCTGCCCTCCCTATTGTTGAGGCCTCAAAATGCTCTATTTAGGCCCCAAACACTGTTTTTTGTTTGAAAAATGCTGTTTAAAAAGTGACCACTTTTTTGGCGCCGCCCCCCCCCATTAAAATGGGACATCAGGGGGTTGCCAGAGGAGGGAAAGTGCCACCTTCTGCTTAGGGGGTTTAAAGGAGGCCGCAGTCCCCATCATCGCCAAAGAACTTTGGACATGTGACAGGCTAAAAATGGCCTCAGGCCGATCTTAGGGTAACTAGTAACCGGCGCCGAAAAGCCTATTCTCTATCTCAATTCATTAAGAAGTTGCAGCACTTTGAAATCAGTTTTGATAGAAAAAATTACAATGCAAAATAGAGATTGTTCGCAATTTTGAGCCGTCCCCGGTTGCAATGGTAACAGGAGAGCATGCTGTGACAGAGGCTATTGTCATATCAACATGTGTGCCAAGCTCCATCAGTATTGAAGCATTTTTCATAGTTTATTAGCAGTCTGAACATTTAACAGGAGGCTTTTTAATGAAAACAGCCATTTGTCACATTATGCTTATTGGGTGAAAGGTTAACTAAAAAAATAAAAAAATGTCACAAAACAATTTTTCACTAAATTTTAGGTGTAAGGGCACGTGTTAACTTGGGAAAACTAGATTTTGTGTAATTCCAAGGTTTTTCCATATTTTTTACTATTGAAGTTTATCTTATTCAGGACTTTTTTGTATTGTTACAGGTACCCTGTTGTGTAGCCCGATGTTTGTTACAGTTTTCGTGCTTGTCAATGCGATTTCATATCTGTATTAAACATGGAGTAACCTCTTTAAACTACAACAAGCTTCGTAAAGACACAGATTAATGAATTTTGGCTGGAATGTGACGATGTCGTCTGCTATTTATTGTAATCCTCATGTATATCAAATCAGCTCATGTCTAAGAATATGTTGACTTTTACATTGTCGGAAACACTTTGTTCTTAAGAGTTTTACTATAAAAAATATATTCCTAATGTTCCCCTTTAAGAGAGAAGTGAAATTATTTTGTTTATAAACTGTGTACTCTCGTAAAAAAGATCCAGAAGAACTGCACAGTTGATAAACGAAGTCTTTGTAATATTTCGTACAATGTGTGCCCTGGCTTGTGATTGCAATCCCTTTTTTCTATTATAGTACCTTACTTGAGAGGGTTAATATTTCATCTTGAACCTTTCTGACTTGTTTATATAAAATGCACTTATATAACAAGTTGTTCAGCTCACCTTTTGTTTAAAATAAATGCTTTTATATATTCAGATTACAACATTACACGTTATTTAGATGAGTCAGCCGTCATCCTTTCCAACCCACTAAGGAAATGTATTTATATAAAATATGAAAAACAAGATCAACAACGAAAGGCGGCAAGTCTTGGACTTGTTTTTCAAATGCTCTTCCGATTTTAATTAAGTTATAAAGTCAATAGCATTGCTTACCTCTTAAATTCATATCTTCAGTCTTACATGATTTTTGTTAAACAATGTCTTCTGGTTGTGATGTATATCTGTTTTGAACATTCTGGAAATAAATATTGTTTAAACTAATATATTCAAATGAATTTCCCCAGCTATTGATCTATGTTTGTGTAATATATTTTATGCAACAAATATTGGATGTCATGATTTTCAAGCAAGGAGCGTGACCATACATTTATGTCTTTGAATGAAATGACTCCAGTAACATTTAGATAATGATAGAGTTGTACTGATGCCAAAAAATCTAAAAAAAATTTACAAAAGTAAACGCTTTTGATAAGGAGACTATCATCAGCTATGTGGCGACTTTATGTGTCACAATGTGTCTAGCTGTTGGCACTAAATGTCGCGCTTGTACTGCTAAATGTCAACCGCAACCTCCCTGTAAGGCCTTAAAACATTTTTCTGTTAAATGTCGCAATCATGACGTTAAATGTGTAGTTAAATTGCTATTGTCACTCTATTGTTATACAATACCACAATACCTAACTTAATAGCTAACTTAATTTTATGGTGAATAAACATCTTGCGACATAAAACGATATTATTTCGACATTTGTAAGCATGGCGGCATTTATTGGCAGAAGATGTTGCTACATATAGCAGTGGTTTCGATATTTATCGGCAATATTGCGACATTAATCAACAAGAGCGACATTTAGGGGTGTAATGACATATAACGTCTCCACGTGTCACCTTTAGATAACGTTTTATTGTAAAGTGTTAAGATTGTGCGGTAATCGAGGGGCGAAACGTACACACCGTACTGGTGTATCATTATGGTATTTTTAGCTGATCTTTTTACTTTCACTCTTTCTGCAGTAAACTTTTCAGACATGTTTCGGTTTCGTTTCAATAGAAGTCTCCATCATTCTGCCTTGACAAAGTTTCTTTATTTCAGTGGCTATTGTATATGTATATAGCTCTACACTTCATTTATAACATAATTAGTTCTCCAGTCTGAACAAATGACTGCTAGGGACTTTTGTCCTGTATAAAGAAAAATATATCCGGCTACCTTATTGAAGGTCAGTGGTTCTACCCAGATGTAAACTTACGCCTGACATATATTGAGCAAAGGGACAACCGAGGTATTTATCCACCAATAAAGCTGGAAAGTCGCCATATGACCATAAAAATATCAGCTGGCCTTCAAACCCGACCAATGATTGGTTGATTGATTCATTGATCGACATCCACTCAAATGAAGTCACCTTCTCGTTGTCTTTTAAACAACCAATCATTGGCGAGCTTTCATTATTTTGAAAACGATGCGGTTTCATAATTTAAACCCTTGGAAAACCAATACTGAGTAAGCAATTTCCACGGTCTATTATTAAAAGTTGATGTGTTAAAATAACTTTAAACATTTCTTTCTAACAAAAATCAACAATTTGTTTAACTTTCATGGAAGTTTAACAATATTTTGATGCTTCTTCTAATGCCTATCTGTTAAAACCGGGTTGATAACATGGCTAAAAAAACTCTCTTTGTAAATCCGAATTCTAAAGAATTCGAAATATATACGATGGTCTTCAGGCCTACATGGAAGAAATAAGTAGATCTTAAGTCAGATTGACTATTGAACGTTCTTGTCAAAAGTTTGACAGAAATGGGCCAAGTTTAACCCTTTACCAAGAAAAAAAAAGGAAAAAGTGTTGGCAATTTATTTTTAATGTGTAAAATATGAGTTTACAGACATTTCCAATGATGTAAAATATGGAACTGATTAATGAAAAATAACTTTGTAATTGTTCATACAAAATAACTATGATTTGCATTTTATCAAGCGCCAACCATTCACACGTTACATGTATGTCTTATCAGCAATTTGTTACTATTAATAGATTTTATAACAATAACATACAACGTATACTAACGTGATTCTTGCACAAAAACAGGGAGAAATTGTTTCTTATTAAACAAAATAATGCAATTGAAAAGGTCTTTTATGATATAAACAATGAAATGATTTAAAATTGTCATTTCAAGTATCCCTAAATTCAATGACTTATCAATAGGGATACATTATTAATTAATTTAATAACAATTGTTATCTTGCTTTCTTAAGGTGTCAATATTTCTTTATTTCATTTCATTAAGCAACGTTATTATATGTTTGAATATTTAAGATTAATGACAAAAATGTGGTATTTAATTGTTCATTTATTGATTTGCTTACAGTTTAAGATTTTAAAGCCTTCTCCTACCATAGATATACTATTAAACTGTTAGAAATATATTCGCCGGTTAATTCCGGCGACTAATGACATACTTCTGCCGTTTTTGCGACTCCGCAAAAATGGTATTGCACGGCTGTGAATTTATTTTCACGTGACGTCATTTGCATAAAACAGACATAGTCCCAGCAAACACATTTCAACGTTGCTCAGACGTTACAGTCTGACGTTGGATTGACGTTGGAATTTAGTTGTATATGAAAGTTTTTTAGACGTCAGAATCCGACGTCAATCCAACGTCATAAATGATATAAATCCAACCTCTGTATAACATATATAAAACTACTTTCCAACCAGTTTCCAACGTTAATCCAACCAGTTTCCAACATGATTCCAACCAGTTACTAACGTTATACCAACTAATTTCCAACTTAAGTCCAACCTATTTGTAACATAAATAATCCCTAAAAAAGTTAAAAATACAAATATTCCCATATTCAAAAAATGTTTTTATTTTCAGAAAAAAAAACACATAAAGAACTCAAAGTTATCATTGAAACAATAAAATACAATGTATAAAAAATTATGATTTTTCTTTTATTATAACTTATTATAAAAACAAATTGAGAACACATATGTATAACATTTAAAAATGACTCACTTTTAGTCAATTATAGTGGTAGTTAAGTAAAGTTAGATATTTATAAAATGTATATACACTTACAAAATTAATCAAAGCATAGAAGACGCTGAATTTGTTTGGGTCTCAGTATGTAAGAAAGGTGCAGGTTGTGAGATTATAAACCAATTTGTTTTTGTATAGTGCCACCAATGCTTTTCAGCGGTTTAATTGTAGTAAATTGGCTATAAGACTAATTGCAACACTGACATTCAATCCAATGTTTAATTGACTTAAACAATTTGAAGAAAAAATGAGTTGCCTTAACTGGGATTTGAAATCCAGACCTCTCGCTTCCTAAGCGAGCGCCCTAACCCCTCGGCCACGGTGAATTTATATGTTAACGGCCTGAAGAAAACCATATTATTTTAAATTTGGGTTTGTAACGACGCTAACTGTTGTTTAACATTGTTTAACACAGATG